GAGCAGACACGTGTGTCCTCGCCTCCGGAGAGTCACGGCCTGCCTGAGACGAGCCCCGGTACGTATCCACCGCTCAGGAAACGTCTGTATTCACTTTGTTCACCTGCGGCTTTGTGACAGCATCTAACACCAGGCAGGACGGAAACCAGAGGTTTAGTTTTAGGAACTTGGAAGAGTTTCCAGACACTCGACGGCTCTGATTTGCACAAAGTAGCTTAGACCTGAATTTCACGCAGTACGGAAATCTGCGGCATCAGGAAATCGTACAGCAGCATCAGGAGAACATATGCAGGCAAATGTGTGTTCACAGACGAGCCACCGTGAGCTGTTAATAAATGTCTGGAAGGCGGGTTGGGGGGCAGATGATGCGTCCTCCTGTCACAGGAGGAAGTGAGGTAAGTGGAGGTCTGGCCTGTGACTGGCTGAAGAGGTGCGGAGCATCACTGGGATCGTGAGGAGGCCTAGCCTAGCCTAACCCTGTCTCCATGGTGATGTGTGAGGCTGAAGAAGACGCTGCTCGGGTCACAGAGCTAACACACCTGTAACAACACCTGCAGAGACACAGGAGGGGTGTGTTCTGGCATAAAGGAGGCATAACTCCTCTGCAATGAACAGAATTCAGATGTATTTTATTTACAATTTCATCATATTTACCTACAAATGTTTAAAGGTGGGCACCATCAGGTTTATACAGGAAATAATTCATGATAAAAAAAACTGTAACAAATGTAAGTAGTGAGTAAGACTAAAAGAAAAGGACAACATAAAGGAAAGATGCTCCATCACAGAGAGAACAAGATGCAGGAAGATGGTTTTCTATGAAACTGCACAGTGAATAAAAAGTGATTTAAAGTATCATTCGTGTCTGTTTTCCTGTAAAATACACAGAATTTAGGCAGAACTTACATTTACTTACTGTCTCATTATTTCTTTCCCTATTTAAAATGACTTCGTGATTTCTTTGCGATTGTTCCCTCCTCGTTTAAGTGCACGACCTTTTGTATCGATGAATAATGTTACACGATCGTTTCAAATTCAAGTTTCCGGGTTTTGTGGTTATATGGTGGTAAACATGTGATTCTTATACTCGTTGGCTCCTCATGGTTCATTCGTGTTGTTTATTTAAATATTTTTTGTAATTATTTTTCAACATTTTGTGATTGTTGCATCTCTCTGTCACAATTTATGGTCATTTTGCATCATTTTGTAGTTGATTTGTGGATATTTTGTGTATTTTTATTCCGTTTTTGAGTTTTCTTTTGTGTCTTTGTGGATTGTTGCGTGTTTCGTGTCATTCTCTCCCTGTTTTCTGTGTGTGTTGCCGTTTCATCAGCATTTGTTGTCTGTAGTTGTTTTGTGTCTTTGCAGTAACCGTGTGTGTTCCTCTGCTTCCAGAGTCTCCGAGCAGTCAGCCTCCTCAGAGGAAGAGCTCCCTCAGCGACAGCTGCCGCCTCAAGATAGAAAGGTTGGAGCAGGTGAGTGTTTGTGTTTCGCACCTTTGAATGCTTCACGCTGACGTTGAAACAGCAGAGTCAGCAGGATGAACCAAAACAACCAAACACGTAAATCTGCACAGAAACTATCGAGAGTGTGACAGCATGAGATGATGATTTCCCTGCACGCTGACGGGAACGCCACGAACATCAGCTTCATGGGAACAGAGGAAAAACCTTTTTGTTCCCAAATCCAACCAAACACAAAATGTGTTTGTGTACTTCATCACAACACAACACACAGAGTGTAGCTGAACCAATTCATGAGCCGATACTCTCTTCTCATTGGTCAGCGGCTGTTAGTCAGTGTGTGTTTGCACCATGTGAGCTGT